AAGAACAAGTTGACATTGTGAATTTTTTCAAAACTAGAAAGTAAAAATATCCATTTAAATAATTTAATAAAAAATTTGTATCTAAGAGTTGATCGGCAGCTATTTTATCTTTTATAAGACATCTAAGGAAATTAAGAAGGCATAAATCATAAATTACTCTTGAATAGCCACCAAAATGCACAAGGTCATAATGTGACAGATTGCAGAACAGAAAGCAGTGATCTGAATTATTATGGGCTACACAGGGACCACCTACTGCAGAATATTGCAGATCCCAAGAAAGAGGACAGATGCCAGCTCTTCAGAGAATGGAATCTCTACAAAGGTAGGGGCAACTACCTTGCCTTTGTTAACTGAAGACTCCATTGACGTAGGCAAATTTCTAAGAGGTTGTTTGACAATGTCAGATGTGTGTGGGGAATGAAGCCTGATATTGGAGACTAAGCTATTCATGAGTCAGAGTTAAAGTAAGGAAAGTTTTTAATTGCCCTAGAATGCCTTCTGAAATTTGAAACTATGTGGATTACACTGTTTCTAAATAATAAGATGGTAAGCCAAACCAAAGGAATGACTTCCAAATGTTGATTAAAGAAATGAGCACAGGCCATTTGGAGAAAGTAATGAGGGCAGAATGAGGTTTGCCATGACACAAACAGAACATAAAACAACATAAAATAAAATGAGTAGAAGTATCGAGATGAAGTAAGATTAATGAACTAATAGTTTAACTGATGATTTTTACCTATGGTTCTGAAGGTGAAGTTTATCAAGAGCAAGATTCAGATGAATTTCTATGCCATAAGATAGGATTTATTTCAGGGTCAAATGAAAGCAAATGTAATCAAATGGTCCCATGTATATTTCCAATGTACCAATGTTCCTATTTTCTTCTATTTCTTACTTCTAAGGTTTAAAAACCCAATACTTATTCTTTCCAAACGTAGATTTCCTTCAACTACGAAGCTGAATATTTCTGTATATTTCTCCTGATAAACTACTTCAACCAAAGCACTAAAACAGTGGTTTTTATTTTGTTTTATTTTAAATGTGAAAGTTTCTTACATCCTGCCACTCTGTCTCCCCAAACTTTGTTCAAATAATTCTATTAAATTCAACCTGAAAACTTAGGTTCACATAGAAGTTGTGCGAATTATTATCTTAAGAGTCAAATAACTGTCACTTTCTATTCAACTTTGATATCCCACAAATGTACTGTGATTAGGCCCCAACTTCCTTAATAAGACTCCTTTAGCACACAAATTAAAATAAAGAATTAATAAATGGTATGGATTCAAACTAAAAAGCTTCTTCTAGGCAAAAGAAACAATCAGTGAGCTGAATAGAGAGCCTGCATTTTGGGAGCAATTTTTTACTACATTCACATCAGAGCACTAATCTCTACGGTATATAAAGAACTAAAAAATCATAACACCAAAAAACAAAACAACAACAACAAAAACAAAAAACAAATAACTCAATCAATAAATGTGTCAAGGAACTGAACAGACACTTCTCAGAAGATGATATGCAATCAATCAACAAATATGAAAGAAAAATGTTCAACATTTCTAGCAATTAGAGAACTGCAAATCAAAACTACTCTAAGATATCATCTCACTCCAGTCAGAATGGTAGCTATAAAGAATACAAACAACAATAAGTGTTAGTGAGGATGTGGGGGAAAAGACATACATTGCTGGAGGGACTGCAATTTGGTGCAGCCAATATGAAAGCAGTATGGAGAATCCATGGAAAACTTGGAATGGAACCATCATTTGACCTGCTATCCCACTACCTGGTATATACCCAAAGGACTTAAAAACAGCACACTACAGGGATACAGCCACATCAATATTTATAGCAGCACAATTCACAATAGCTAAACTGTAGAACCAACCTAGATGCCCTTCAATTGATGAACGGATAAGAAAATGTGGTATATATACACAATGGAATGCTATTCAGCATTAAAAGAGAATAAAATCATGGAATTTGCAGGTAAATGGATGGAGTTGGAGAATGTAATGCTAAGTGATGTTAGTCAATCCCAAAAAACCAAGTTCTGAATGTTTCCTCTGATATAAGAATGCTTATTAATAATGGGGTGGGGAGCATAGGTGGATTAGATGAACTCTAGATAGAACAAAGGGGAGAAAAGGAAGGGAGGCGCCATACCGGTAGGAAACATGGTGGAATGAGATGGACAGTTACTCTAAATACATGTATGAAGACAGGAATGGTGTGACTCTACTTTGTGTACAACCTGAGATATGAAAAATTATGCTGTATATGTGTAATATGAATTGAAATGCATTCTGCTGTCATACATAACAAATTGGAATAAAAAAGTGCTCTAAAAAGCAGAGATAATTACAGTATTTCCAGTTATTATCAATGTGTATATATATATATATATATATATATATATATATATATATATATATATATATATATAACATTTGTGTCTGTGAACTAAGAAACAGAAAACTTTGAGACATAGCCTTAAAACTCCACTTTCTTCCAAATATCCCCAGTCCTTGAGAAATTAGGGGACAGGCAGAAAATAGCTATTTAGTCACAATTATGTCTCTTCTTATCTCTCCAGAGACAAAACAAATTGAAACTCAGTCAGATAATTCAATATGGTCTTCAAAATGGCTTTTTATTTTATTTTGTGCAAGCCAAAATTAAACAAAACTTCTCTGCCTATGTTCTGAATCTTTTTTAAACTTTGAAATTCAGTATGAATGAAACAAACCTTATTTATAGCCAAATACAGTATAATTCTTACTGACTATTTGTTTATGATAATAAAAGGAACAGCAAGCTGGTTATTTTTATCTACTAACTTGAGTATATAGAACACCTAGTGAAAATCACAAAGGAGTAATATTAGAATAATCAGGGCGGAGAGTCAGGCTGGCCTAAATGCACCATTGAACAGAATAAATGTTGATAGATTATTATTGAATTATATAGAATAGGTAAGTTTTTAATGTTCCATTTTCACAAATGTCCCTATGTGCAAAACTTTGATAAGTCTACCTGTGCTGATGGTACAGAAATAGCAATTGAGAGAATACATCAGAAGCCATTGCTGAGAAGAGGAAATTTTCACTTCTGGGTCACACTGGAAGAGCCCAGTGAAATAGTAATAATTCTCTGGAATGGACATATTTTAATAATGAAGAAGGGCAAAAGCAAGGTTTGTGGTGTCTTATTCTTTGAGTTGCCTATAAAAAGGTATATACACGTGGAAGAATGTTAGTTACTTGGTTTTGGAAAGCTTTGCAGAATTCTATCTGGAACCCAAAGATATTGCCTCACCAATTAGGTTTTGAATAATTTGAGAGAGTTTTAGTATCTTTTCAGAATAAGAAATACACTAATTTCTCAATGTCTAATATGTTTAATCAAATAATCTCATGGATGGATTTAGAAGAAATTATTATCCTGTATTGGCTAGAATTATTTTTCTCCTCTTTTTTCACTCTTATGTGTATAATGTGAAATTAGTGATTGCAAACTTAAAAGTTACACCAGTCACTAGGAATTTAGTATTCTTGCTCTATAGTCACATTTTAACTTTTTATTGAATAATCAATTTGAGCTTGAGTTTTTTTCCTCTAAGTTAGATAATTTATTTAGGCTCTGACCCATGAAAATTCTTAATGAGTTACACATGGTATGATTCCTTCAGTTAACCACAGTGAAAGACTATGAAAGTGACTGATGACTGGAGATATGAGGGGCTATGTTTTCTTAAAATTGGAAGCATTGGAGTAGAATTGAATGGAGATGTCTTTGGGGACACAGTGAGGAGAGTTCTGCTCTTAGTATACCTCCTCCAGACCAAACTAGGGCTCCAGGATCTGCTGTCAGGATTTTGCATGTTTCCATTTTGCAGTGATCCCCTTAAGCTGCAAATAGTATATGCAATAAGGTCTTACCTCTTGGGGTAGATATCAGCCTTACTTATAGTCAATAGCCTCTGGTACCAGTCCTAGGTGTAACATCTTATCTAAATCATTAGTCTTATCTACAATTTTGAGTACTTACTAATTTATTTATGTACCTAATATCTGAGCACTTTCTATTGTGCCAGGATTTGGAGCAGTAAATAAAGGCAGAGCCTCTGACATGGAGGATGTCTTTGTCTTTGCAAATAGCTGTCACAGCACTCTTCTAAGCCTCACATTTTCAAATAACAGACATAGTTTTGCTTTATGAGCTATGAAGTGCTATACCAATTCAAGACTGACAACCAAAGGCAGCAAGTTAAGGTTAAAAGATGAAACTACAAGCATTTATTAGGTTGAATGTGAGAAAAAAATAAAAGATAATATAGTCAACCCTTGATTATTCAGGGACTGGTTAGAGTTTATGATTATCAATGCCCTTTGATTCTCCTTCTCCTTCCAACCACCAACTATTGAATATTTCTCTGCTCATTAACACCTGTCTAGGAGTGGGAAGGTGAAATGCTAATCAGCCAATTTGACTAATTGTTAGCTGATCCTATGATTCTTGTTTTTAAAGTGGAGCTAGGGAAAAGTCAAGTCTTTCTCTGAAATATTATCTGTGAATTTCTAAACTTCATGTCACCTTCCCTTTCTGTTCCTTCATTTGTAAATTCAAAGATTTTGTTTTCTGTAAGGTATTAAAGAAAAAAAATGAGTAAATTCTTTGCTAGTTCTCAAGTAACATGATTTACTTCACATTATGTATTTTTATTGACCAGAGTTTAGAAGTTATTAATGTTGTACAACATGACTACTTTAGAAGAAAACTTCAGGGTTTCATTGTTGGAATTTTAAGTTTATCCCTATATAAGTAACTGTACCTGCTAAGTAGATTTGGACCAATAGGGAATCAACTTTGAGAAAATTACTTAAGATTGCCCTCCCCTTTGCCTCTGGTAGACATTACAGGACACTCCCCAAACCAAATAAGGGAGAGAAGAATGTTCTGAGCATTAAGGATACTAAGAATAAATCTGAGCAATCATGGATAAGATTACTTTCAACTCTTTATTTCATGTTTTCTGACACAGACCCCCAAGATCTGTAATTATCTTAGAGAAACTGCGGGGGCTTAGACAATACTTTTTAGTTCTTCGGGTTTTTTTTTTTTTTTTGGCCTATCTCTGGGGCTTGAGAGAGTGTGTGTGTGTGTGTGTGTGTGTGTTCCTCTAGAGTGCCAAAAGGGGAAAAAAAAAAAGTGCTGAAGAGTCCTAGGGAGATGAAGCTATTTTTGTTCGAAGCTGATACTCCTAGCTGAGCCACAAGTGCTGCTTTGGAAAGGGCTTAGGTTGTTTCCAGGGGGAGAACTCTACAGAGAAGAGGCAAAGTTCAACAGGACAACACATCAGCAGCAGAAACGGCCAGGAAAACGAAGAGCCCTCACGTTTTAACACAGACCCTTCTACCAGAGTTCTCCAATCGTAAAGTACTCTGCAAAGAACCTCTTGACAGACCTTCCACCTGATTCACTTTACCCGACCACCATGACTGAGATCACTGCTGAAGGTATTGCTGCCATCTTCCAATAGAATCTCATAGGGGGGACGTGGTATAAATTGACAGTCAAAGAGACCATCAATATGTCCATTTAAAATGTTGCTTTTAGGTAATTATCTTGTTCAGTGATTTTATACAAGATCTGGGAAGTGGATTCAAGGTGAGAAGCTGTGAGATATGTGCGTTGGGGGAAGGAGAAAAGATTTCTCTGAAATTTTGCATGTGGAAACTGTTCTCTGCTACACCAAAAGCCCCACAAGTTAACAGTTGTCATCTACACCTCTATAAATAGCTATGGTCATGTAACATCATGGCTGATCTCTCATCTAGCAAAAATTAGAAGCTTTGCAAGGATGGAGACCGTGATAAACTTAAAATATTATATTTAATGTTTAAATGTAGAAAGATGATTTTGAGCATTTTTGCTTTATGGTATTTAAAAATGGAAACCTTAAATTTGTTTTTTGATTCCAACCAGCATATATAAATACACACACAAAGATGAAATTTCTGTGATTAAGGTACAACGGCTCTAAAAAATTTGTATCTATTTTTCTGTAGATGGGAACACAAAATTGGAAATTTCACAAACACACTAGAAATCAATCCGACTTTAAAAATAAAGCAATTAAGTGTTAGACTTCTAATTGTTTTCCTAAACTAATTTTTCTTTCACTTCAAATGGTGAATTCTATCTTAAGATTAAAACGATTTTTTTCAATGTGTATCCTAGAATATTAGATGTTATATATACCTAAAACATAGTTGTTATTATTTTGCCATGGCAGCAACACACACACACACACACACACACACACACACACTTCTTTTTCTATCTTACTTTAAAGGGATTCTTAAAAGTAAAGCATTTTGAATACAGACACAGTTTGGTTGTAGTTGGGGTAAAAATTTGAGAGGTGGATCTAAAATCTGCTTTTGACAGCTGTAAAAAGAAAACAAGACAGGTGGTGCTTTTGACAACTTCCCAGTTGAATGCTGTGCTGGTTCCTTTTTAATCAGACAAGTGTAAAACAGAATATGTGGTTTTGGTATTTGGGGGTGGACATTAATGTAGACACACAGTAATTCCTGTTGGAGATTTTCAGTCAATATTTATAACAATCACCTTACTCAATTTTTCCGTGGAGAAGTCATTCTGGCACCTAAATTAATAACAATTACTGAGAGCTTTCTATGTACTATATGTTTCATTCAGAATTTCATGTATTTGTTTATTTAAGGCCCATTTCATTCAATTAAGTAGCATTATTACCCTGTTTTGCAGATTGAAACTAACTCTGAAGTCTGTGACTTGCTCATGACCACAGCTTATCCAAGATTTGAAGTTAGGTTCCTTAACACTAATTTCTGTTTTCTTTCTGTAGGAGGATATCAGGTTTACGGATTACCAATTTTAGTTAAGAATTTGCTAACTAAATATAAATAGTATTTTTTCCTGTTCCTGAGATATTCTGTGTCATGTGGCCATTAGTTTGTCTTAAAGAAGGATGTCTAAAAACTTTTCTTGCTTAGCCCTGCACAAGTTATTAAGATGCCTATGAGTATGTGTCCCCACCTCCATTTGGGTGTGTATTGCCAGGTAATTCAGGAGGTCAGCTGGCTGAACCATTTCTGGTGTGTTTTTGGGTTATGGTCCTTTGCACCTGATTCATGAGACATTTTATGGGAAAATGCCTAAATATGAAATTAAACTTTTGTTTCTTTTTTTTTTCTCCTGTGGATGTTAAAGGGGTCAAGGAAGGCCTTTTGTAGTGACCCACAAAATAATTGAATGTAATAAATTTAAGAAGCAAAAGCAACCTCTGATTTCTGGGTGATGGACATTTCCCACTCCCTAGTTTTCACAGTTCATAGGATCAATGTCATCTGAACCTCAGTGATGCAGTTATTCCTTTTCTGGAATGATTTATTAACTATATTTCTCAAATGAAAATTAGATTGCCAACTCAGTGAACTTAGCATTTTAAGGTTGGTACCACAGTAATTCTCTGTGGCTATTCAAAGAGTTTGGCCTGCTGCTCTATTATGTACTTTTCATTTTGTCTTTGTAATTCCAACTTTTTTTTTTTTTTTGGCCATAGGTAGTACCCCCTTTCCAGTGTTTTATAATAGGTATGCTTTTGTACTGAATTTTGGTACAGGCCATTATTCCTTCAGCCTGGAATATTCTTCTCTCATCTGCTACACTTCTGTCACAACCACTTTTGCACTACATTAGAAGCCCTATGTCAACTACTCATTACCCTTTCCATTCACTTATCCCCAAGAAACCAAACACTGAAGGAAGTATGGAGCTAGAGAAGCATCTTAGAGAGCTGAAGCCCAATGTCCTCAATTTCACTGATGAGGAGTGCAGGTCACATCAATCCAACCTCTCTTCCACAGTAGTTAGGGGAGGTCTGAGGACAAAATCCATGTCTGCTGTGGCTTATCCCAGTGCTTATTAAACTATAGTAAATGGTATAGACTTTATTGAGTTCTTCACATAGATTTCTACTGCATGTTCTAAGTTGTATTATTTCATCTGATAAAAGAAAGGGAATAACTAGATATAGAATTGCATTTCAGATACAAAGCAACAGGAAAATGAGAACTAACACAAAGTTGAACCTCAGAGGATATTAGAGAAATAACACCTTTGGTTCTGGCCAGGATAAATTAATAAAGATAATTAAATTAATAAAGACAACCATCAATGGCAATAATAAAAGCAATGGTCATTTATTTGGAAGACATAAGATGTTCAACACTGTATTAAGTTTTTTACATGCTCATTCAACCCTCATAGCAACCAATTGAAATGCTCTTAGTATGGCTATTTATAGAATAGGAAGCTGGGGTTTAGAGAGGTTAAGAAATGTGCCTGAATTCACACAGCTACATATGGTGTAATGCAGGTTCACATCCATGTCTGACTGCAGAGTTAGGTTGAAGATGTCCTCTCATTGTGAGAGACATTTAGTAAGGTTAGTATCATTTCAATGGCTGTTGGATGGCTCTATCAGGCCCATGGTACACTTAGTAGGCTAAACCAGGCCCCAGACTGGATTAGACTCAAATAGCACTCAGGTTTAGGGCTATAAATAGCCCTCCACCTTGCTTCCAGAAGCTTAGTTATTCCTAGACAAGTGCCAAAGTTAACTCCCCCTTCTGAGGTTCATGCAGACTTACAGCCTCATGGCTAGATGTGTCTCACATTGTAGCATATATTTGACAGTATATATTACTGTGAAAAATGCCTTTTAAATACTTATTTTGTAGTAAAGCAAAATTTACTCAATAGCTTTTTTTGAAAAAATGGCAAAGATTTTTTTAAAAGTTCTTAAAATATGTAATATTTTCAAATTGTCTATTAACTAATATACAGTTGTAGTAGGCTTTGCAATAATATTTATATAATTGTGTTCTCAGGGTATAAGAACTTCTCAAATAAAGAAAGACAAATTTTTTATATAATGGACTCAAGTTGATGATCTTCTATATAAATAACTTGGCATTTTCTAGAACATTTAGATAAAAGAAACTATTTAAAAGAAGAACATATGTTGTACTTCTAACTTCTAAGCTGTTGTATAAACTCAGAGTTCAAAAGCAGGTCATTGCACTTATATATGGAATTCTTTCCTTATTATTAGCTAAAACTCATTTCACTGCTTCTGAAACAATCAAATCTGTAAGAGGATTTCATATTCAAAATTTAGAGCAAAGTTGTTTATTTATTTTGCATACTGCACTGCTTCTAGAGACTCTGCATCCCCAAAACCCCATCATTGCTTTCAAGAAGAAAGACCAAGATTCCACAGTTAACAACTAAGCATACAAGTTATAGCACTTAGAACAACAGATGGTGAAATTAAGTGGAGATCCTGTTTTAGTCAGCTTTTTCAATGCTGTGACTAAAGGATCTGACCAGAACAATTATAGAGGAGGAAAAATTTATTCAGAGGCTCATGGTTTTGGAGGTCTTATTCCAGAGAAGGCTGGCTCCATTTTTCAGGTCTCCAGGTGAGGCTAAAATCATGGCAGAAGAGTGTGGCAGAGGAGAGCAGCTCACATCAGGGTGACCAGAGACTCCACTTTCCAGATACAAATATATAAACCAAAGCCATGCCCTAATTACCATTCTCTCCAGCCTTCAGTTACCACTCAGTTAATACTTATCCCTATCAGGGGATTAAATCACTAATCAGGTAAGACCCTCACAGCCCAATCATTTCTCCTCTGAACCTTTTTGCATTGTTTCACATGTGAGCTTTTGGGGGACATCTCACATCCAAACCATAACAGATCCAAATAGCATATCTATGTTTACCCTATGAAAGCCAAAAGAGGTGGCTTTACATTAAGTGGCGATCACTTGGGAGTGTGAGGATATAGCCTTGGGTTTAAGCCCCAATCACTTCTCGGTATGTTCTCCATTCTCTTGATAAAGGAAAACAATAGGCCACATAAAAAATTTCATTTTTAATTCTAGTAGCACATTTTAAATTGGGCATTGGAAAGCTAGTACCTTCAGAAGAAAAGGACCATGATGAGAAACAGTTAAATTAGAAGGTTATTTTCCCATAATATGGCATTGGAGGGAAATAAAAAGTTCTGTGAATAAAAGTCTGAAAGCCATAAAATGGCAAAAATCTTGGCAAAATCTAATCAGCCAATACAATAAGAGCTAGAATTAACTCCTGTGACTTAATAAAGGAAGGAAGAGGACGAGGAGGAGAAGTAAAAATAAAATAAAGGAAGGAGAATAAGAACAGATTCCACTATGTAAGAATGAGGAGTGTGCCAAACTCCAGGCTGTGAGAACCCCTGCAGCACAAGTACCAACAAGCCAGTTCCTCCCAATAATACTAGGAACAGAGAGATGCCTAGGCTATGCGTAGACTAAAAGAAATGTATAAAAAAAGAACAACCCATTGTAGTGTATGGCATTACTCAGTCATATTCAAACAACTTTAAAAACAATTCTGATGAAATGATTAGAAACT